AAAGGGGCCGGCTTGTCCCGGGAAACCCCTCCCCGGCGGCGGGGCTGGAGGAGCGGGCGCGGCCTGAGGCCTGGCTGCCTTGCCGCAGGCTGCGCTAGGAGGCCGGCCCGCACTGCGCGCGCTCGGCCTCCCGGTCCAGGCCACCTAGTCCTCGCTCGTGCAGGCGGAGGGCGACCCGGCCTGGTCAGCCTGCACCCACGCACCAATTCCCGTCCGACCGCCCCCGAGGCCGAGGTCTTAGGGCCGTGAGGCCGGAGACAGACCCGAGATCCTGCGCACTCATCCCGCAGCCGGTACTTCTGCTTCTCCGATTTTTAATAACCAAACCTGGTTTTTACTTCAAGAAAATATTATTAAAAAGACCCTATTTCTGCTTGCTTCGTATCCTCCTGACATTCATGGAGGCTGAGAAATGATCTCCTAGGAAGACAGTGTGCAGGTGTTGGGGGTTCTCTAGCTAGGAAGAGCGAGGGTATTCCAAGAAATTGGCATCACGCTGACTTTGTAGAGCATAGATTTTATTTAGAATATAAAACATGGAACTAAACACTGGAGTTTTAATCCAAAAATGGAAGTTGTACCCCAGGCTTTATGATTTTGTAAATCCTGCTTGGATGTGATCATCGTCTCACACAATAGAAAGTAATTTTTCAGATTTATGGAATTTTGCAAGCTTTAAGCAGAAAAGCAAGCAGTCTGAAGCTTATCTTAGCATCGCTGAGGTTGAATAATTCAACACCTCTTTTTCCAGAACCTAACCCAACGCCTTCGCTAAAGGCTGTCCAGTTTGGATAGCCTCTGGCTGTTCACTTGGAAATAAGATTACCTGATGGATAAAGAGATGGTGGATGGTTATGTAATAAATCGAATATAGCTCAGTGTTGGCAACAAAATCTAGGTAATGGGCATAAGGAATTTTACGTAAAATTCAACTATTCCGTATGTGTGGAAGATTTTCATATTAAAAATGCGGGAAGAGGAATGTTAGGTTTGACCAAATACCTACTGAGTATTAGCTGTGAGATTGGAACAAAAGGCCCAATGCTCAAGTTTCCTGTTATCCATCTCTACTGTTAATTGTGATCTCACAGACCTTCCAGGCCCTACCGGAGACCTTCAAGTCAAGGGCGGCCCCGAGTGGTGGGGGAAAGAAAAACAAGCCATCCAGAGGGTCAGAATCGCTGAAACCTTGGAAACGCATCTATTTCATCAGGCTGCAGGGCAGCGGCATGGCGGTGTTCATCGCCGCCAGGTGGTGGTCCAGTTGCATGAGACTCAGCCTAGAACCCCTAATGGCATGACTCCGACCCCGACAACTGTTCTCCAGGACAACCCGAAATCCACCGCAAGCCTGTTTCTTACACCTTTCTTCCAGGATGCCTCCCCTGGATACCTGCGAGTTCCTTGGGGCTTAAGCAACTTTTTGCGCCCAGAAGTGGCAATATTCTGTGACTCTATAACATCCACCCTAGACTGTTTATCTCGCTTTTTGCCAGTTCCACTGTAAGAAATGCGAGCATTACTGCTGAAGTCTGAGGGAACCAAGTGTACAACATGGGGACTTGACGATGAGAAGCGTTTTGAGTGGGCAATGCTACTTTTGTGGCTAAGGACAGTCAGCCCGAGGGCCAGGTACTAGAGGGACACACGTCCAGCCGCAGACTGCCCAGAAAACCCGAAGCCGGCTCGGCGCGGCGGAGGAGAGGCGGGGCTCTGGGGGCGGGGCTCTGTGCCCCGCCCCCGGCCCTTTGTGACGTAGGACAATGCCTGCCACGCGTCGGAAGTCAGCAGCCGGGACCGCTACCGGCAGCGTGCGACTGGTTCGAGGGAGAGTGGTAGTCTCCTGGGTCCCGCTCTGGAACCATGGGTTTCTTACTCAGATTAGTCGTTTTCTTTTATCTGTGGGTCTTTTTTACTGCTCAGGGGCAAAAGAAAGAAGAGAGCTCAGAGGAAGTGAAAATAGAAGTTTTGCATCGTCCAGAAAACTGCTCTAAGACAAGCAAGAAGGGAGATCTCCTAAATGCCCATTATGACGGCTACTTGGCTAAAGACGGCTCGAAATTCTACTGCAGGTAGGACAAGCTGCGAAATGTTTCTGTCTCCAGTTGACGCAAGAAATCTGGCCTCTCTTCAGCCAGAAGCCAAATTGGTGGTCGGTGGTTCTTTTCGCTGTTTGGGCTGGGTTTTGTTTTGTTTTGTTTTGTTAACAGTAAGAGATGAACCTTTTATTCACAAAAAAAAAATCAGACAGATGGCAGTAATTACGTAGCCAACTGGTATTACTTCTTAAATTATTGAAAATGTTGCCCGAAGGAAAGACCAGAAATAGACTACATCCACTCACACAACACCCTGCTACTACCACTACCCCCAGGACCTCTAGAACAACATCTCTAGAACTACTGCCACACTGTAAGGATGTTCACATTTTTCCTTTGCCAAGAGTTGGAGTCTCCCTACAGAGAATCATGTAAGATGGCTGCATAGATTTTATTCTGGTTTTTAGAAGCATGATTTTTACAGGCTGGAGACTGCTTTCTAACTCTCAAGAGGTCACTACAGCAGGATTTCTCTGGGGACTGCTGGCCCCTGCATCCTCCGCCTGCCCTCTCATCCCTCTGGCTGCCTGCAGTACCCTGATTTAATTGATAGTTTACTCTGAGGGAAAATGTCTTTTCTTCATCTGTGCTATTACCCCATAAAGATAGGATTGGGGAAAGTTAGTTCTTCCCATTTATTGTAGGATAAAATAGAGAAATATAATAAAAGATAGTGTTAAACTATTGTTAAAATCACCTTGGGAGGCTAAACCTGACCCATCTTTTTTTAAAACAAACCCAGAGACATTAAATGAGTTATTTATACATGCCATTCAGCTAGTTAGTTAGGAACCGGAGACTCATTAAAGAGTTAACTGTCGAATAGTTTTTGTAAAGGTGACAATAAAAAGAAAATGAAATGACTCCTAATGACTAGCTGTGGGGAAATCATACTTTAACCTGGCAATAATAGGGAAGTTTGAGCCAAACACCCCACCAAGGCTTTAGAAAGAGGGCTAATAGAAGAAAAGAATTAAAGAGGACTCCATTTTTAAATTACAACTAAATACCCACTTAATACCATAATTGTAAAGTCTTATATCTTGAAGTCAGCTTATGTAGGTTTGTTTCTGTTTTCTGTTTTCTGTTTTTGTTTTTATTATAGCCGGACACAAAATGAAGGCCACCCCAAATGGTTTGTTCTTGGTGTTGGACAGGTCATTAAAGGCCTAGACATTGCTATGATGGATATGTGCCCTGGAGAAAGGCGAAAGGTCCTTATACCCCCTTCATTTGCATATGGAAAGGAAGGCTATGGTAAGGTGTTGAATTTTCATTTCTCTCTTTAGTTATATTTAAAAATAAACCATAGACTTTGGGATATATATTCAGCCTTCCATATCCATGGATTCTGCACCTACAGATACAACCAACTGCAAATCAAAAATATTTAGGAAAAAAATTGGGGGGGGGTACTGGCAGGTGGCGTGGTTGTTAGAGGTGCTGGACTCCCACGTGACCGACTGTGGTTCAGTTCTCAAACCTAGTGGCTTGCTTTCTCACTGTCCTTTCTCTCACTCTGTCTCTCTTTGGTCAAGTCAAAAATAATAATAATGATAATAAATAAAGTTAACTAAAATAATTATTTTTTAAAAAAGAAAAAATTGATTATATATGCACTGAACATGTACTGACTCTTTTCCTTGTCATTATTCCCTCATTAACGTTATAAAATAACATTTACATTATATTAAGGTATTATAAGTAATCTGAAGTTTATTTAAAGTGTACAGGAGGATCTACATAGGTTATATGCAAAAACATTTCATATAAGTGACTTGCACACTCTCAGATTTTGACATCCACTGGTAGGGGGTGGGGGCAGCAGCTGGAATCAGTTCCTCTCGTTATCAAGGGATACTAGTATAACCAAAATAACTGAAAACAGTCTCACAAGATATGTACACCCATGTACGTAGCAGCATTATCCACAATAGCCCAAAGGTCAAAGCAATAAGTGTCCATAGACAGAAGAATGGGTAAACAAAATATGATATACGGTATGCATACAATGGAATATATTCAACATTAAAAAGGAAGTAAGTTTTGTTACATGCTACAGGGATAAACCTTGAGGATATTATGCTAAGTGAAATAAACCAGTCATGAAAAAACAAATACTGTATGATTCTACTCATAAGGCAACTTCAAAAAGTTCATAGAAAACACATATTTTTTTTAAAAAAGTGCATAGATTTCAGATTTTTTGTAACCAAATAAACCTGTACTTTAATTCCATTCTTCCACAAATTTTTTGAAGTCCCTGCATGTGAAAACACTTGGAGTAAGTGCCCGTAGAAGGGAAGTAGAAAAATAGTTTCTAGGGGCTGAGGGAAGCGGGAAATGGGAGGCATGCTCAATGGGTTTGGTTTTTGCAAGAGGAAAGGAGTTCTGAGGATTGGTTATACACAGTGTGAGCATACTTTACAATATTGAGTGGTGCACCTAAAAATGGTTATGAGGGACAAAACCATAGCCCAATGGTTAAAGGAGCCAGATCCTACATAGCTGACTCTAGTTGCAGTCTCATTCACAGTGACTTGAAAACACACCTGGCCAGTGTGCGAACATACCAAAAATCATGACTGGATGGAGAAATGGAGAAGGGATTGTGGCAGGACTACAGCCCATTGGGGGGTGCTTTCTCCCTATCACTCACTCTCTGTTTTTCTTTGTCTGGCCAATACACACCCTCTGGCAATTAAAAAATGGTTATGATGGTACATTTTATGTTTAGGTGTATTTTACCACACTTACAAATAAAAGCAGGGGGGCCTGCAGGTGGTGCGGTGGTTAAAGGAGCTGGATCCCACATGGCTGAATGTTGGTTCAAGTCCTGGGCCTAGTGACTTGCTTTCTCGCTTTCCCTTTCTCTCTCTCTCTCTCTTTCTCTCTCTCTTTCTCTCTCTCTCTCTCTCTCTCTCTCTAGTCAAATTTAAAAATTATAATAACAGATGAAATTAAATAAATAATTATTTTTTTAAATAAATGAATAAAAGTAAAATAAAAACAGGACCAGCCTTGGCCTAGTGGTTAAGGGAGCTGGATCCCACATGCCAACCATGACATTTAAATCCTGGACCCAGTGGCTTGAGAAACTTGTGTGCCCAAGATCCCATCCCGAGAAGATGGAAAAATGGAGGAGAAGTGATTGCAGTGTGATCATGTCCCATGGGGATGCTTTCTCCCTCTCTTTCTTTGTTTCTTTGTCTCTCTGATGAACAATGTGCCCTGTGGAATTGAAATAAGTCACAAAAATTTCAAATATATATATATATGCACATATATATACACATATATAATAGATACTAAAAAATTATAGAGAGAATACTCACAGAACTATACAACCCAATGAACTAGCCATATCTAGTTTAGTCCAGTCCTGTTTTTTTTCTTTGAAAGAAAATAAGATATTGTTGGAATATAGACCTCTGGCCAGAATTCTTCCCTCCACCTTGGCAATACTTACAATGATCATATACAAAAAAAACAATACTTAAAATGATCATATACATTCTATAACCTCTACCTTAGGCATTTCACTTTTATTAATATAATATTATTTTCTAAATGTTTGTAGCATAGATATAAATCTTTGGTAAGCAATACCAAAATTAATAAAACTCAGGACACTGGAACATTGAATTTAGAGTACAAGAGGACTTCATTTATTTATTTATTTTTTTAGAAAGGTTTTGCTATAGGACACATGCATTCACCAGAGAGACAGAGAGAAAGCGACAAGTCACCCATGGCAGGGGATGGTCACAATGCAATCCCTTCTCCAGTCTCCTCTCGGGATTTTGGTCATGCACGTACACAGACCTGGTATAAGTTTTTTAAGCCGCTGGATCCAGGACTCAAACCGCGGTAGACAACATGGGAGTCCAGTGATATAACCATTACACCATCTGCTGATCCCAAGTACAAGAGGACTTCAAAACATTAATAGAAAAATTAAAGTGTGTTTATTTTGTTTTTTCATAATATTCATTTCTGTGAAATTTTTGAAGACCCCTTATAAAACTACAGCATTTGAACATTGTAAAAGGAACATAAGAGTATAATAAGCTGTCGGTTACTATTACCCCAATACAGGACAAGCCTTGAAAAGTAGAAGAAACAAATCTAACCTTTCAATATTTTTACTACTTTTAAGTTGAAAACCTACATAAAGCAGATAAGTGGGATAAATGTCTGCAACACACACAGATAAGACTTACTAACCAGTAGTATAAACTGACCTACCTATCCCTAGAAATGAACCAATTTTATAAACAAGCAGCCCACCAAGAACAATAAAAAAAAAGCCTTTAGACCTGTGAGAATAGTTTTATTCATAACTAAAAAATGGGAAATTGAAAATTAAATGCTATTCAAAATAACAAATGGGAGAGCCAGCAAGTCCAGTGGTAGTTAAGGGCGTTAGACTCCCACATGGCCAACTGTGGTTCAAGTTCTGGACCTGGCAGCTTGCTTTCTCACTCTCACTCTCTCTCTCTCTCTCTCTCTCTCTCTTCCACTCTCTTGCTCTGTCCCTCAAAATAAATTAAATTAAATTAAATTAAATGTCTTTTAAAAAATAACAAATGAGATGCTATTTTTCACTTACTGGATTAGCAAAGATAAAAATGTTGGCAAAGGCATAGGAAAATATCCAGTATCATGCAATATTATTGGGAATGTGTAAATCATTTGACCTCAACTAGCAATTTCTATAAAAAAAAAACAGAATTTCCCAGTTTCTAGAAATGTACATGAAGATGTAAGTAAAAGAACATTTATTACAGAATGTTTTTTCATTTGCTTTTTTGAGTGGCAAAAAACTAGAAGACTAGAAACTACCTCACTATCCATAAATAGGAAATTATTAAGTAAATTATGATATATTCTAATGATGGATTACTGTGCAACCAGTAAAAGAATGAAGTATGGTGCCGACATCTGTTGTGGTGGTTAAGAGTTGCTGGACTGCCACATGGCCAACTGCAGTTTGATTCCTGGACCTGGTGGCTGTCCCTCTCTGGTCAAGTTAAAGTAAATAAATAAATAAAGTTAAATAATTATTTAAAAAATAAATAAAGTAGAGCCATACATATTAAAAATAAAGTGGGATAGGATATATTCCTGTGGCAAATATTTCTTTAGCATCAGTGCTAGGCTCTGTTCTAGGCGCTGGGCATTAAGTGGTGAACACAGTAGACATTGTTCCCTGCCCTCCATGAGCTTGCCTTTTAGTGGGGAATTTCACATATGCATGTACATACTCAAGAGTACAGCTGCAAGGATACAATCATCTGATGACACAAAGCATTCCTGGAAAGGAAGCCTAAAGATCAGGGATAAGAAGATTTCTTTCACTCTAATATTCTGTACTCCTTGAATTTTTTTGTCATGTGAAAGTATTAATTTTTCCAAAATGAGATTTAAAAACTAAATACTAAACTTAAGTGCAACAGAAAAGAGAGGGAAATTTTAAAAGGGGTGGGGAGGATGGGCAACCTGACAGAGGGGCAAGCTTCACCCTGCATCTTCAGTTAGGTCCTAGTGCCCTATTTCTATGTGAAGTCTATGCAGAAAGAATTCTGCTAACTCTGCGTATTTGAAATACTTAGTATATGATGAAAGATTAATTTTGTACAAGAGATACTGGGATTACTCCCAAATATTTCATGGAAATGTTATGCCTTTTCTGAGGCTGCTGATTTAGTCACTCAGAATAGTTGATTCCCTCATCTGTTCTGTTCCTTCCAGCAGAAGCAGGGATCATGGCCCCAAAACCCACTGGAGGGGAGGTCAGCTTTGCAAGTCAGTCCCAATGCTTTTAGCTAGTCACTTAGTCCTATAAAAATATTTCCCATGGATTTTAATCTGTACACCCTGTTTTTATTTGTTGAGGAGTCTGAGAGGGAGAGAAAGAGAGAAAACTAAAGATAAATTAAGTTGAATACAATACTTGTCCTTAAAATGTTACAGGTTGAAGCCATTTCTAGGCAAAACAATATAGACAAAGTTTGCCTTTCTGTCTCTCTCTCTCTTTTTTTGGGGTTTTTGCTATAGGGTGTGTGCGCTCACCAGAAAGACAGAGAGACTGAAAGTGAGAAATCACCCCCCCGGGGGATGGCCACGCTGCAATCCCTTCTCCTTTCTCAAAGCTCTCAGGATCTTGGGCACGCACACACATATGCCCAGTGTGAGTTTAAGCCACCGGGTCCGGGACTCGAACTGCGGTCGACTACATGGGAGTTCAGTGACACAACCATTACACTAACTGCTGGTCCCAACCTTTCTGTCTCTTTTATCTCATTTTAAGAGTTTCCCTTTCTCTCTTCCATTGTGTCATCAGATGCCTCCATATTCTGCCTGCCAGCAGAGCACCCACCACCCTGTCTGCCTAGAGTACCTACGTGGCTCATCAATAGGTCCCCATCCTGGGTTCATTATCCTAAGGCAAATAACTACCTAGCTTATCTTTTTCATAACTAATTTATGTTTTGATATAATGGACTACCCAGGCTGCTTGAGCTGTTAATAAACCACACCCTTGTGCAAACATGGAAAAGTTTGAAATGAAGACGTTAGTTCATACTCAATTTGGGGGAAAAAAAAAAAAGGATGAATCCCACTAGTAACACTATCAGCACAAGTTACACTTAAGAATACTTTGGCCCAAAAGTGTGTTCATTGAAAGGTAATTAACTATAACCTGACCTGCATTGCAATATCTTGGATTAGATTATTTTAAAGGTTGCCATAGAGACTTAACAAAAATTTCTTGATACAATATGCTTTTTAAAGTAAGTTGTTATTAAGACCTAACATTAGCTGTAACTTTGTTTTAGGTAGTACTCGAAGAAGTCTTTCCTCAACAAAATAGCCTTGCCTGTCACAGAGCACTCCTGCATGTCTTGAAATGCATGTGACTTCTTAAGTGCTTTAATTAACAATATGTGTGGTATGTATCCTACTTCTCTAATCTGCTTCTCTAAGTATAAGAGAATATTCTGTAGCAAAAGCATGGTTCTCTCTTTTTCACACTTGCAGATTTTTGTAAGAAAACAAATTTGCAGTGTTTTCTCTTTACAATAGAATTGTTTAGAAACTTCATATGTACCTCTAATATTTTTTCTTAAATTTTAATTTGTGTTTTGAATTTGTCTTTTTTTTTGTGGGGGAGGGGTTTTTGCTATAGGGCATGTGCACTCACCAGAAAGCCAGAGAGAGACAGAAAGCCAGAAATCACCCCTTAGGGGGATGGCCATGCCACAATGTCTTCTCTTCCATTCTCCTGTCTGGATCTAGGGCACGCATGCACATGCAGCCAGCATGGGTTTAAGCCACCATGTTCAGGACTAGAACTGTAGTCAACTACATGGAAGTCTAGCAACACAGCCATTATGCCAACTGCTGGTCCCTGAATTTGTTTCATTATTGTGAGAAGTTATTTTTCTGTCATAGGAGATAGTTATAATCTCTGTCCAATTACAGGACAGAATAGAAATGGGTTTTGTAAAGACAATCACTGAATCAACCTCTAGCTCTTACTCTAAGCCAGGTAAGAGGTCATGCATTAGGTTGGGGCCGGCAAGTGGCATGGTGGTTAAAGGTGCTGGACTCCCACATGACTGACCACGGTTCAAGTCTCGGACCTGGTGGCTTGCTTTCTCACTTCCTCTCTCTCTCTCTCTCTGTGTGTGTGTGTGTGTGTGTGGGTGTGTGTGTGTGTGTGTGTCTGCTCAAACTGGAAAATAATAATGATAATAATAATAAATAAAGTTAAATAAAATTAAAAAAAGAAATCATGCATTAGGTTAAGACTCACACAAGTGACATGCTGCATGCATAGATTTTTCTGTGTCTAGACTTTAAAATTACTGATCCACTTCTTTTGTCTGTAACTTTCAAGCTTTTTTGGGATTACATCAAATGACAATTATAGCTATTTAAAAAATAAACGAGATGGATCATTCAGCAAATATTTGTGTGCCTATAAGACTATATCAGGCACCAAGTGGGACTGTAGGAATATACTGGTCACACAAGCTAACTGCTGCCTTTGAGCAAGTCATTTCTACAGGTCATCTTTGTAAAATGCTCGTCTGAAATAGGCCATAGCTTACTGAAATCATCTGCATCATCAGCTATAGGTTTAACTTTATTAAAGAGAACTATTCAACTTAAGACTTAAAAAAATTATTGTAATTAGAAAGTTCTTTGTAAAATTGTCATTGGATTTCTCTGTCATTCCACTTTGTTTTTAAGAGATATTTTTGCAGGGCTGGCAGGTGGTGTGGTGGTTAAAGGCACTATATTTCCACATGGCCAACTATGATTCAAGTCCTGGACCTGGAGGCTTGCTTGCTTTCTTTCTCTCTCTCTCTCTCAGAATATTGATAATTGAAAAAAATAATAATAACAAATTGAATTAAATAAATAATTATTTTTTAAAAAGAGAGAGTTTTGCTATAGGGCACGTGCGTTCTCCAAAGAGACAGAGACAAAGAGACAGAAAGTGAGAAATCACCCCACGGAGAGGATGGCCATGTTGTAATCTCCTCTCCATTCTCATCTCCATTCACCTGGCATGAATTTTAAGTCTTGAACCATGGTCAACTATGTGGGAGTCCAGCAATGTAACCATTATGTCATCTACTGGTCTCATTTCACATTTTAATGGCTATTAAAAAATTGTAAGATGGGCAGCAAGTGGCATAACTGTTAAGGGACTGAACTTCCACATGGCTGACCATGGTTCGAGTCCCAGCCCCTGCAGTTTGAAACTCACACTGGGCACATGTGCATGTGTGCCGATAATCCCAAGAAGAGAAAGTATTATGGCATGGCCATCCCCCCTGGTGGGTAATTTCTCACTTTCTTGCTCTCTGCCTCTTCGGTGAGTGCACATGCCCTATGGCAAAAATCTCTACAAAATATAATAAATTGAAAGACAAGTAACATTTATATTTATGTTTTATTGTTGCTTCCAGATAACTATGCAAATAATTTACATTACTAATTTACACTTTGAAATTCTTCTGCTCATACATTTCTTCCCTGTACTACTTCTTCTGTATGATGACAAGTGTATTAATGAAAATAACATGGTTTGTATTTATTTTAATTTAATCATAAAAAAAAGGTCCTGTAGTCAGTCCTTTAAGCTGACTTGGTTTAAAATCATATGGAAGAAAAATTCCTAACAAATACTAATAAAGAAAAGGAAAAAAACTACAAAAACAGTTTTTTAAAGCAAAAAGGTATTTTCTAAAAAAATTTTAAAATAGTAATTAGAAAACAGTTCTTATAAAATAATATAATCATAATACTGTTATGGCTGTTCATGAATAAGTATTTAAACCTTATTTTCATGTAAGTTAAACTGTTAACATTTATGTCCATAGCAGAAGGCAAGATTCCACCTGATGCCACATTGATTTTTGAGATTGAACTTTATGCTGTGACCAAAGGACCACGGAGCATTGAAACATTTAAACAGATAGACACGAACAATGATAAACAACTTTCTAAAGCAGAGGTAATTCAAACAAATTTCATATGTACAGCCTAATTTTTTCTTCAAAAATTAAATATATTTGTGTTACGACTAGCTAGCATTGAGCTGTGATCATCAGCTTTATATAGCTAGTTAAAAACCATCTAACCTCTGAGAAGAAAGCATGCTTTTCCAATATAGAAATGCAGAATCATCTTGTTGAATTGCCTTCTCCCTGCGGGGATCGTTAAAATCCCAACCTACTCTCCACCACAGGGCTCTTGTAGTTTCTTTACTGTCTCTTCTCTTTCTTCCTCTTTTTCTTTTTCTTTTCCCTTACTTCATTCCTTTTTTCCTTCCCTCCTTTCTTTCTCTTTTTTCCTAATGTCCTTCTTTCCTTTCTCTTTAATTTGCCAGAGGGCATGTGTGTTTGCTGAAGGGGAGAAGAGCAAGAAAACACCGCCCATGGAGCATGTTCCTATTGCAATCCCTTCTCCACTTCTCCCTCCTGTCAGGATTTTGGGCACACATACCCAGCATATTTTTCCAAGCTGCCAATTGGGAACTGGAACCATACAGCCATGTGGGATCCAGCTACCCTAACTACCAGGCCATGGGCTGGCCCAGGACTCTTCCAGTTTCTAGCCTAGAAGAGCAGATCTCTTTCAAGTAGCACAGTAAGAATTTGCAATAGTATAAATAGTTCGTACCCCAAGATTGTGAGGATTATGAAATTATGAAAAGAGCTAGCAAGAGTTTGAATTGAGAGAGCTGGAACGTTAGTAAAAAGGAGCCAGGAGTTCAGCTACATAGGTTCTAGCTCTGTCTTATGTATATTATAAATTAGTATAATAATTTATAAGGGATTAGTAAAGTTCTTGTAGTAATAATATTAGATAACATTTTTTCCCACAATTCTTAGTACCGGTTACTGTTATGAGCACTTAAATATGTGAATTTATCTAATCTTCATGTCATTTTATGAAGTAGACACTGTTGTCATCATCTCCATTACAGAGACGGGGAAAATGCTGCTCAGACTGGTTAAACAGCTAGGCAAAAATCACCCATCTCTCAGTAGCAAAACCAGGACTTGGACCTGTGTCCTTAACCCTAGTCTTTCACAGAATTTCGGTAATGAGTATTTCAGGGCTAATGCATGTTTCATTGCCTTACTTAGTCCCACTGACTATACTCTTACTTATAATGAATAACCCAGTCATCTGCCTTATAACTTATTTAGAAGCAGTTCAAAATACCTAACTCTACCAACTAAGAGTAAAAGGCACCTGGTCTGATTCCAATTAATGAGAGTAAGTCCTTTTTCTTTCTGTTTCACGTGCCACTGTTTTCCCCATCCAATTCCACTTTCTTCTCCAGGGTATTAATAAAGACTTACCCCTGAAGCATGTTGATTGGCCAACAGAAGAACATCACCTGTTGCTTAAGAAGAAGAGCAGTGAGAGTCGTGGCAACCTGTTTCCAGTGTGCACTTCCCTTTGGCTCCTTAACCCCTTTTCAGAATGAGCAGCAGCTGCAGATGAACTCACATAGTAAGCAGGAGTTCACCATAGACCATTCCTTACCATAGGCACACCAACACACATGTTTTGTAGTATGACTACTACTACTCAGTAGACATTAGGGGATCATCAGTTCTTTTCTCGAAAATAAAAGAAGAGAAAATCCAAAATAGTGACTTACTCAGCTATCATTTCCCACATGAGAGTGATTTTTTGTAATAATAGCTACTATACTACTATATCTTTTCTTGATACTCATAAACAATTACTCTAAGGGCCAGCAGGTGGCGTGGTGGTTAAGGCCCACAAGGCTAAATGCACTGTTAGAGTGCAGTGACTCAAACTAGACCCAGTAGCTTAAAAATCACACCATGTGTGTGTGCATGCTATGATCCTGAAAGGAGAACAGAGGAGAAAGATTGCAGTGTGGCCACCTCCCCAGGGAGGATGATTTCTCACTTTCCCTCTCTCCCTTCTCCCTTTCTCTCTGTGGCAAGCACACACACACTACCACAAAAAACTAGAAAAAAAAAAAAGTTACCCTAATCCACACATCGTTCCTACAATATAGACACTTATTTCCATACTTTTATAGACACTTATTTCTGTACTTTTACAGATGATAAAACTGAAGTTCAGAGAGGTTAAAATATTTGTCCCTCACCACACACCCAGTACCTGGCAAAGCCTAGACTTGAAACATGAACTAAAAGAAAGTTCCATCTTTCACCATCAGATTTAGTAAATTATTTCTTCAATATAAGTAAAGTGGCAGAGGAAAGAAATACAGTATTTATTAAATTACAAAGCAGAAATGTTGTGGAACCTATTATTACCAAAATTAAGGTCATGTTCTTACCTACCTCTGTACTGTGGTGTACTAGAAAAAGAAAAGATTTTGACCATCAGCAATATTAGTTATAAAAAGATAAATGTATTTACTTAGACACTGAGTAAAATTTAAGGCTACTTAGAATTCTTTACACCTACACAGGAGTGCTAAGTCTCAGTAAGAAGAAAAAACAGGGGACAGCAGGTAGCATGGTGGTTAAGGTGCTGGACACTCTCACATAGCTGACCACAGTTCAAGTCCCACCTGGTTGTTTGCTTTCTCACGGGACCAGCAGTTGGCATAATGGCTATGTCATTGGACTCCCATGTAGTTGACCGCAGTTCGAGTCCCAGACCAGGTGACTTAAAACTCACACTGGGCAAGTGTGCATTCGTGGTCAAGATCCCAAGAGGAGAATGGAGCAGAAGGGGGTTGTGGCATGGCCATCCCCCCTGGGGGGGGTGATTTCTCGCTTTCTGTCTATCTGTCTCTGTCTTTCTAGTGAGTGCACACGCCCTATAGCAAAAAACCTCTCAAAAAAAAAAGAAAAAATGCACTTTCTTTATCTAAGACCAAAGTCCCATTTGAGAACAGCCAATGTATTCATCAAGATCCATTGATTGTTCTAAAATAAAGTTACTAGTAATGGGTTGATCTTGGGATATATACAGTATTTCTAAAAAACTCTCAAGATTCAACTTTATTTTTTAAAAATACTGTTTCTGGATCAGCTGGTAGTGTAGTAGTTAAGACACTGAACTCCCATGTGGTCAACCACAGTTTGAATCCTGGACCCAGCAGCTTGAAACTTACCCCAGGGGTGTGTGTGTGTATGTATGTATGTGTGCATGTGCACACATCCCCAAGATCCCAAGAGGAGAATGGAGGAGAGGTTGTGATGTGGTGGTTATACAGATTAGCACTTTCCTATAGAAATATATATACATGTAAAACTTAAAATTCTTTCATATTGCCATTTCAACATAAAACCAATATAAAAATTATCCATAAGATATACTTTTTTAAGTCTTAAAAATCTATTGTGTGTATTTTACATTTACAGTAACATCTGAACTTGATCTAGTGACAGTAATGATGCGTGACCAGTGGCCACTATATTAGACAGTGCTTTCAATGTATTTGCCTTATTTTTTTTTTGTAAATTTACTTATTTCTTCCACTAGAGAGAAAGAGAGAAAACCCCCAATGAGATCCTGACACCGTGATCCAACCTCAGCCTTTATTAATGGAAATTCTTAAGAGTGATTTTCCTTTCATTATGTGACATTAATGGAAAGTATTTAGTTACAATAATATTCAATTTAACGGTTAATCTTTGAGTATGTATCATTAATGATTTTTAACCTCAAAAGAAGCTGATTTGTTTTAAAAAGTTTTTTGGTCTTTTTTTTTTTTCAGGGGTTTTTGACTTAGGGTGTGTGTGCTTGCTGGAGAGAGACAGAGACAGTGAGAGGGAAAGTGAGAAATCACCCCTCCCCCCAGGGCTCCTGTAAGGGCCATGCTGCAATCCCTTCTCCTCCACTCTCCTCCCAGGATCACGCATGCATATGTGCCCAGTGAGAGTTTGATGCCTCAAACCACAGTCAGCCATGTGGGAGTCCAGTGACGTAATCGCTACATCATCTATTGGCCCCTGTTTTAAAAAGTTTTTAAAAAATAGGGAACCAGCAGTTAGCGTAACGGCTATGTCGCTGGACTCCCACGTAGTCGACCGCGGTTCGTGTCCCGGACCCGGTGGCTTAAAACTCACGCCGGGCGCGTGTGTGTGTGTGCGTGCCCAAGATCCCGAGAGGAGAATGGAGGAGAAGGGATTGCGGCGTGACCATCCCCTCTGGGGGGCAATTTCTCGCTTTCTGTCTCCCTGTCTCTCTCTCTGTCTGTCTGGTGAGCGCATGCGCCCTGTAGCGAAAACCTCTCCAAAAAAAAAAAAAAAAGTTTTTAAAAAATAAAACTTGAAATAGTTTTTAAAATTTTTTTTATCACTTTACTAAGTAGTCTTTCCAAGTACATTGATCAAAGTTACTAGAAATTTTACTGTGGTACTTTTTTATTAAAGAAACGTCACGTTTGCCTCCTAGATAAATAATTACTTGAAAATGGACTTTGAAAAAGATGACAAACCACATGATGAGTCATATCAGAATGCAGTTTTAGAAGATATTTTTAAGAAGAATGATCATGATGGCGATGGCTTCATTTCTCCCAAGGAATACAATGTATACCAACATGATGAACTATAACAAACTGAATTTTGTATATAAAACCGTCACTTTTTCCAAGTTATGTTGTTTTTCTGTATAAGAATATATTTTGATCCCCCAATACATATACTTTGGTATAATAAATGTGATGCTGTTCTGCAAATACAACTTTAAGTAGAGGTATAATTATGTTTCCTACTGCTTTATTCTGTGAACACAAATTACAGTACCATAAAATAGACTTCATGTCTCAGTGGGGAGTGTTCCCAGGATATATAAAAGCATGTATATCAAAATCTGCAAGCTCTCCACTTCTGATCTCAAACAGCATGTAAAAATGTATATATATCCAATTTTTAATATTTTAAATGTTAAGATGTTCCATAATTTAAAAATATTTAGTAGCAGTGCAGGAATTAATATTTTGTTTATATATTTCATAAAATTATGAATAGTTGGATATAAAAAATTATCAGACTGGAAAGTCTTCCTTTGGTAGGCATATGTAGAAAGGTATGTTATATTTCTCTTTCCCACAAAGAAATTCATCACAGTCTCTGGACTTCATTCATGTATTCATGGGTTTTTGTTCTAATGGGAAATGTTTAAAGATACTTGGCCAGAGATAGATATTTTGGCTCCTACAGAAGGAGTAAAGTCTCTATAGTCGGGGTCTTACACTTCTTCAGGCATCATTATGAACGTGCTACTTCTCTTCCCTTTCCTAGGCCTTCATACCACTCCTAAATTTGTGTATCAATAGTTTCAAATTGCTGTGAGGAAATTTATTTCCAGTTTTTTCTTTTCTTTTTTTTTAATTGCTAAAAGGTGTATGCATTCACCAAACAGAGACAGAGAGAAAGCACTCCTCAAAGGGGCATGGTCATGCCACAATCCCTTCTTTATCTTTCCATCCTGTAGGGTTTTGGGGCACACATACGTGTGCACAGCATATTGTTTAAGCCACCAGGCCAGGATTTGAGCCACGGTCACATGATCAGTTCTGTAGGATCTGCCTACGGGACTGACCCTCCTGTTCCTTTTGTCTAGGTATTTCTTACCTTCTATCACTTCATTTCACAACATCCTTATCACTTATGATGAATGACCTGACAAATGAGCTAGCCATCAAATGTTGATGAATGCATAAAATTTATTTTTGCTACAAAGTAGGATATACAAGGGCATGGCAGTTTTGTGTCATGGTTAAATCCTGACATGGTCTGAGTCACTAGAAAGGAGAAAATAGATACTGTAGAAGACCATGTCGATCCCAGAAAAGGACACATATTTACTGGAACATGTAAGATTTTTAATACTGAATATTTAAGAAAATAAATATGCTGTGTTCAGAGTAAATGAGTTTAAAACAAATAAAACTTTTCCTATTTTCTGAAACGTGCTCTTTCCAAACCATGCTCACCTTTAACATCTTTTAGATATAATGCCAGAAATGCTACTTGAAAGTATATGACAGTACTTCAAAAAGTTCATGGTAAAGTAAAATTAAAGAAGTTGATTTTGGTGCAAAAAAAATTAAATCTATACATAATTTTTCATTAACACATATTTTCCATGAACGTTCTGAAGAACCTTATTAGGGCTAATGCAAAAAATCATCAGATTAATAGATGTCTCATAAGCAATAGTACAAAATTTGACACCTCATAAAACATTTACTATCTTTTCCTTATGCTAAGTATTTAATTTCTATATTCAATTTTTTAACACGTTTTCACTTGCTTAATCATGAACTCTTCCATCCCTTTACTTCCCAAAAAAAACTACTTAGTTGAAGAGAACTTAAGTGTATAACTTAATATTCTTATATTATTTTGGTTTGGAATTTGCCCCTATTCTTTATATCAGCATTTTATAAGTATGCATGGATTTCAAATTTTTTTGACACCAAAATGAACTTGTACTTTCCTTTTTCATGAACTTCTTGTAGTTCCCTTGTATATTTTGAAATGTAAATTCTGGGACATCTTCATGGCTTCTGAGAACTAGTGATTTCAGGGGAATAAGTAAAATGAAGATTTTCCACTGATAATTCAGCTTCCAGCCCACAAACTCGAGTGATAGGAAGACTTTCAAGCCTCCTGTCTCTGTCTTTCTCTACCTCTGTCTCTGTCTTCTCATTTTTTTTGTAATTTTTTCCTTTTTAAAATGATTTAGGGTGAATCATTTTCTCAGCTTTCAGCCCCTCATCTCCCTTTATCTTGTTAATAATCCCCTTTCCTCCTTCCAACCCAGGAGAGGCAAGGGAGCAGGCCTCAGAAGACATCTTCATGGCTCCTGAGAACTAATGATTTCATGTGGCACACTTGCACACCACACAGTTTTCTAATTATTGCTTTTTTTAAAAAATAACATTTTTAGGGTTTTTTTTGTTTTAAGTTTTCTTCTCTTTTTCTCTATTTGTTGGTTGTTTTTATTGCTGTTGTTTCTCTCTCTCTGTTTCCTTTTCTGCACACTCCT